AGTACACCATATCTTAGGATAAGCCAGGACAGGGGAAACAGGAGAGGCAGGAGAGGTGGCTGGGAATATATAGTGCATAGATGACAATTTTTGCTGAATGCATGATGTTAAATGGTCAATTAAGAGTTATTAAAGCTCTTCTCTATTGGTAGAGACTAGCTTCTGGGTAGACAGTTGGCACAGATCTATATTCAGGTAGGGGTTAGTATGTACAGCAGCAAGATAGTAGATTCAATGGACTAGTAGCTATCTAATAGATTGGATTCCTTGGATAGAAGCTCAGTAGATGGCTTTGTCAGGGGTAGATGCCCAGTGGAGGGGTCCAGTAAAGAAATGGTAGCCACTCAGTAGATTCTTGCTAGAAGGATGAATTTGTAGTAGACCTGGTAGAGCAATAGGCGGCATTAGAGTCCTAGTAGAAGATCCAGAACAGGAATAGTGACAGAGTAGCCACCTCAGTAGATGGCTCCCATCATTAGTAGTATGAGTAGACACCTATTAGTATTCAAGGTAGCTATAATCTCTAGGAAGCACGACAAGATATCCAGTAGCACTACTAGTGATCTATCGGAGAGCTACCTAATGCTACTGGGATATGGGAATCTAGTGGACACTACCTGTCACTACTGGGCACTACTCGTCCAGGGCCCAATTTCCTGATGTAGATATGAGGGCGTTTTACATATCTATGGTGGCTGATTGTAAATGGTTTTTCATAATGATAACTCGCAATATCCACTTCAAGCGCTTCTTCGTAATACCTGGTTGTCTTATGACCGGCCAAGAAATGTCAATCGTTGCACTTTTACGAGCTCAAAAAGGGCTGTGCCGACTCGATTTTGAGCTACCCCTTATCTTCGGGAATCACTGCCTGCCCACCGTGAGAATCTCTTGTATGTAGAACACCTAGCGCCCACCACTCGAGTTACCCAGCGCCTCGCCTCATCTATCGAAAAAGCATCAAGATCATGGAGCAAGCTATCAAATTCTTTCGATCTCAGAACATTCCCGTGCTTCAACCTGGACAGGTCGAGTACGACCATGCCATCGCTACCGCTAATCGCTTGTTCCGCTTCTCCAGACC